TTTAACGTTGCCTACTGCTATTAGAAAGAAAATCTGAGTGTTAAAAGACTGATTAAATTAACGTGTATTAAAATTAATACAAGTTGTTTAACCTACAAACCATTTTCTAAATGTTGCGAAACAGCACCATAGACAAACTTTTAAGTATAGCCTTTGCATGATCTCAAATAAAAAGCATGAATATGAAAACTGAAAACTTGATCAGCAGAGAAATTAATCAACTTTACAACTTTAAACAAATACAGTCATTAAAGAGGCAAAGCCAGAAACATTTTAGTCCCAGAATAGTTGTGTTCGTAGCCAAAAGTTATCCATTTACATTATATTGCTCTAACACATTCAAAATTTGAATTCAATAATCCACAACCCACCATAAAGGTCTGCCCAGTTTGCAGACCTTTACTACCAGCCGATTCATTGTTCATTCTCCTTCACACTTAAGTATTTCAGGACCTGAAACGTAAACTGTATTTCCGCTTTCAGCTGAAACAAGATAGCCCTGACTAAATGACAAATCCTCTGGTAAATTCAACACTTTTCTGACCAATAGTAATAAATTATCATCAATACCTAAATTGATGCTTCCCACTTCATTTATTTCTAAAACTAATGCCATCATTCAACAAATAAACTACATCAATCTAATAACCTATTCAATGAAGCAGAAAACATATTGACTCCTTTGCAAGAACATGTTCCTCCTACATAATTCAAACAAGCACATCCCATTCTTAGCAATGGTTTCAGGCTCAACTGCTCTTCTTTGGAGGTTTCTTGACAACTAAAATGTGGCAAGTTCTTAAGATTTCAGGCAAAAACAGATACGGAAACTTTGACTTCTTGACAGTTTATTGATAGATTATTTAACAACCTCCTGTTTTTAAAGAACAAGAAAGGATCTACTGAAGAATGCCATGTAAAGCAAAGAAGTATCCTCCTTAAAAATCCTTTCAATTTCAGAAGGAAACTTGGCAAGGAGCTATAGAGGTTTCAGAGTAAACTGCAGAAATATGTGTTCTGATACAGAGCAACGCCTTGATAGCAAAGGCCTCATTGATGGGACTGCGGTCACCTTTGTGCAGAATCTCACCGATTTCCACAAGGATCGACCGTCTGCTGAACAGCTCTGACTGCTTGTGCACAGAAACTACATCTTGACAAATTTTAAGCATTACACAGTTGTCCTTTACCCACAACTGAAATCTCAATGCATAACGTTAAAAAAACCCACAATAATTTTAAAGAATCGAAATAATTTTAAAGAATCAAAATTATAATCACAGGAGAGTAAAGCGCCTATATTTTTACTGGCCTAATCCATACAAATTGTCCTCAAAATAATGACTGCACATCTAATGTTTTAGAAACAAAACCATGTAGCTGCTACATAGAATTCTGAAATAGAGGTGTTAAAAGATAACAAGTCATCAGTCGCCTCAAAATGGCAGAATATATTCTCTCCATTATTTTGATTATTTAAATAATTACTGTAACTGCAAGTAAAAACATCACATAATAAAACACTTTATCATCTCATCAGCACTGTTATTGTAGGATAATAGCATATTACTCAGAACTTACTTTGCACTTGTTTCTTGATATTTATAGCTTCCGAAACACAGAAAACGAAATTTTCACTTAAAGAGGCAATATATTGAATCTGTACCACTATACATTGCCTTGTCTTTTAAAGAAAGATTTTACTGTGATACTGTTATGTGGCTTTTATAACGTTAGTGGACATAATTTGCCACTCATTATACACCAATACTTATCTGCCTTGATTTACAACTAAAAAATTGAGACTAGTACAGGTTAACCACAGACATATTTTTAAATTTTAACTAATTAAAAAAAACACCCCACACATACAGAATTAGCTTTTAATTAGCAAAAAAGCTCATCTTTTCCATGTAAGAAATACAATTACTTACTAGTCAATTTTTGCTCAAGTTGCAAGCTTGTTACTATTAATGTAATGTTTTTCCTTTTTTTTTTCCCCTTTAAATACTGCTCAGTTTGAAAGATTAGCAATGCCTACATAATACACAACATCGTACAAGACCTCTTTAGGTGGGTGGTTACTTATGCCCTAGAAAAAAATCCTCATTTCTTTAGGATTTCAAACCAAAACCATAACAAAACCAAACCTAGAATCCCTCCATGTCAGCATCTTATAATCCTTTTTATGTTTTAACCTAAGATGAAACACAGAAGTAGTATCAATAGCCTGTTTTCTTACTTTATTCCCCTATGCCTATTTTCTTAAAGAAAAACCTACGTAAATGCCTCTAAAGCAAAACACCCTAAAAAGCAGAAGAAAATAAAAAAAACCCAACCCAAAACAATCCAGGACACACAGCTGATAAGCATAAATTACCCAGTAGCTGAAACCAGTGTCTCTAAGGTATCACATGCCAGTTTTCTGGATCAATCCCCAAGTTTATATTTTCACAAATCTTTTTACATGCAGTTTGATTTTTAACATTTTAATGAGCAAAAAGTGCATCTATAGCAGCCAGTCACCACAGTTAAAGTGCAGGGCATGAACTGCGTCCCCTGAGGGATTCAGCCCAGCCGTGTCACCGGGGGCTTTAGGACATACACCACCTGGTTCCTTGTCCCAAGGTTCCAACTCTTTTCATAATCAAAACACTGCTGACATTATAAACCCCACATGGGTTTTCTAAAATCCTTCCCAATCAATAAAGCCAGTACATAACTTATCGGAGACAACACAGAGCTCATTGATTAAGTTTGGTTTCAGTAGCAAAGTTTTCAAAATAAATGAGGCAGGAATACAGTGTTCAGCCCTTTTGTGTCACATCGCAATTTATGAAGGTGAGGCAGTCTCTAAAAGGATTTCCTACACACACACACACACACACGCGCACACACACGATACTTGAGAAGTATATGGAAAGCAAGGTTGTTAAATACACACAATACACATTTGGCTTATGTCCCGAATTATCTATGTATTGAGATGAAATAATAAAGAAAGCTCAACATTGCTGAAAGATTTTGCATATTCACTTGTGAATTTAATACGCAAGCTGTATCTTATCTCAAGTCTTTTTTATTTTTAAACGTTTCACCGTATGCTCCCACCTCCAAGTCAATGGAACAACTTCAGAACCTCTTAAATATACAGGATCACTTTATTTCTCCTGTTCAAGTGAACATCGGTAACAAATATCCCATGCTGCAGCTACAATTAAATAAAACTGCACTGATAAAATGATATGCAAATTGATGGTCTAATGCAAGAACAGCAGACTGTTGCAAACAATCTACTCTTAGAAAGACGTGTGATGCAACAGACATTCAAAGTGGAACGAGAAGTCTAAGTAGAAGTTGGAGAGAAAAGAAATGAAAATACAGGCAGAGATCTGTGAGAAATGATCAATGATTAAGGCAAAACATTCAAATATTAATGTGAGTCAGAGAAGGAAAACAATACACCACAAAACCCAACAGGCTGGGGACCTGTATTTGGGAGCCTGTTGGGACAGCTGAGGAAAACCTAGATGAAGTTGAAAAGGCCACCCAGAGTACAGACCAGAGCTTTAGCTGTGGGTCATGGCAGGGGGGAGGCGGGAAACACAAAAAAACCAAGCCAACACCCCCACAACCATATCTCAGAAAGTACATACATTTTTACAGGAGGACAATTCAAATATTACAAGAGAACGGAGCATTGCAAATAAGATGAGTCTTCCATGGAGAGATGAGTCGGTGATGAAAAAGATAAATGCTGTTTTATTTCCTCACCTTAAACCAGAGGTGAAGCATAGGTGAGGCTGCTGTAAGTGAAACGCTAAACAGAGAGGGTGGAAATACAAATAGTTTTCACCTTATCCAGCTTGAAATACCACCTGAAGCCATGAGACAAACCTGAAATCCATCCTCTTCGCATGGAGGGACACCAAGAGAGTTTCAGGAACACATCATCAGACTGATGAAGGAAGGAAGAGATGCTGGAGAGCAACAAGGGTTACGAAAAGAACAGTGCCAGCCAGTCTTCTGGGATCCAGGGAAGGAACAATAGGTAGAGGATCCCGACTTGGGCAGCAAGCAACTACAGATTATTTATTTCTGCTCAGAAACATCAAATTTAAACATAGCAAAAATGTTAATATAGCGTAAAAGAGTGCTAAGGCATTAAATGAAGCAAAATAGTATCCAATTATTTTGAAATTTGGGTCGTATATTAATCTACCTTATAGCCACAAAACTGTAAACTGCTCTTATATTTAATTCATCTATTTGAATAATTTTAAGCTAACGATTAATGAAATCATCCACTGCAACACTGAACAACAGGTTTAAGAATTCAAAACAGTTGCCAGTGCACCCAGATAACCAACCTAAACCTGACAACAACTCTGTTTAAAACCCAAGGGGTGGTGAAAGAAAAAGTACAGAACGATCTAGAACACCTTAAATTCTGTTACCCATGCAGTTGATCAGAAATTCATAATCCTTTTCCT